GGGAGGGAGTACACATACGAGGGTACACTTGTTATAGCTGCCTCAAAACTACCACCAAAGATTCAAGAGAAATACTGATAGATATCTTACCGATGCACTTATTGAATGTTTGGACTTAATTTCAGTTGTGCAAAATCAAAAGGCGATTTAACTGCCAATTTTCTTTTCCTTCGGGGAATGAAATAAAAATGGATCCAAACCAATTCAAAATTCAGCCTCTGAGCTCATAGATTGAGCATTGTCAAAGGGAAAGCAACTACTTTTAAACACAAGGTGCCTTTTCCGCTACCTCACAAAATGAAGGTGCGATGGTACCCTTAAGGTTCCATGAGGTCACCATCACAAAAGAGTGTGTTCATTTTATCCTCAGGTGACTTTAGAGCGGGAGTAAACAAAATTATTATCATAAATATAAAACCAATTTTGCTTGAATCCTGTTTTCCTCTCCAAATTTTAGCAAGAAATTGATACATTACACATTAAAGATATTTCAGATGTCGATCCCCAAAAATCTTGTTTTTGAAACCTGAACTTTAGCTGAGAGTACAAAAACGCGAAGATGACCTGTTTGATTTCACCCATAAAGAGTGCTTCGCGTTTGAAAACTTTCGGCTTTATTTTGTGGTTCGCGAAATAGATTCTTTTAGAAAGAAAAAACTGAAGTATACCTCCATTGGTGATGGATCCAATTTTTTCCAAAACTCTAAAGTTGCACCAGTAATTCAGCAAAATTTGATCGAAACCTCCATGTTTATTTACTCTTGGAGTAGATTTACCTGAATTTTTTGAACGTGCGAAAAACTCGTTCGTGTGGGTATTTCCTAGTGAAATGAGGAAAGTAATCGCCTGTCACTTCTTCACAAACTTTGCTGACGATTAGCTTCAAAGGAGCAGAACCACTTTTTTTCACGAAAAAGTTAGTTTTCATCCGCCGATTTCAACCCAGTTTACCACGTTGGCAACAAGAATCTTCCCGAACAATTTAATTATGTCCGAGGAACTTTCATGTGACCTCTGTAGTGGGAACTTATGGCTCCGTTTATTACGCACCCATTATCTTTTACGGCCGCAGTTCGTTCGTCAATTTTACGGAGGACCAACAGAGGTCGCTCACCTCGATCTCCACCAAGCACTTCGGATGGTTACACGATATTCGGTTGACAGTAAATCCTTGCGTATAGGGTGGACCGTGGTGCCAAGTCCCTTGAATACAAGGTATTTAAAAAACGAATTTTTTTTTTTCGTTAACGGAAAAGGACTAGCCAAACAGAGTGCAAGTTAGCCTTCGGTTACTGATCTGTTTTGCTTAGGATACACAGATAATTTAATGAACGAGATAATACGAGATATTGGTAAAACCGCGCTAAAGCCACGATAAGTATGTTAAAAGAATCCGAAGTCCACTTTTCAATGTCTAGTAAGTACCAATCAAATTTAAGGAATGAGAGTCACCTCAACGAACGTTGACGATGGCGCACAAATACAGGTATTTTTACTTGATGGACGTCCGTAATGCATCCGCAAAATTAAAGGCGCGATGGCGCAAGGCGTGAACTCTCAATGCTCCACTCAATGCTATCAATTAGCTGCCGTTCACGTTCACGCAGCTTTTGCCCATGTGGCCATGGCGGCAAATATTGAAATTTTTTTAAATGTAGGTATAAAAAAAATCGGACTCAGAAAAAAAAATTACAAACGAGAAAAGGTGACAAAATCTCTCATTACCTGACAGTATAGTCATTTCTACTTTTGTCGTCTATCGGTGAAACAAGAGACAGCACCTCTAATTAGTCGAGTTAAAATAGAAACCAAACACGCAATTTGGCCTGGAGTGGCGCAGCGCAGAGAACAATGATGACGAGGACTTGAGATGAGAAGGAGAAGCCCTCGGCGCGGTGCGTGGTCGGCATGTAACAAATATTAGCGCCTATAAGACTGCATGAATACTTCACGCATTGCGTCGAACACAGTGCGTACAGCAGCAGTTAACGGGAAACGCACAGCGCCTACAAGACTGCATGAATACTTCACGCATTGCGCCAAACACAGTGCGTACAGCAGCAGTCGACGGGAAACGCACAGCGCCTACAAGACTGCATGAATACTTCACGCATAGCGCCAAACACAGTGCGGATCGGCAGTGCGGCGCGGCTGCGGAAGTTAAAATATAAACCAAATGTATGTTTGTTCTTTCATAATTTTTTCTTTCGCTTTTTATAAATGGAAGGCCGTGTCCACACAGAGATAGATTTACGGCAATTTACTTTTGCGCAAAGATCCGTGAACTTTTGCTAGTAGTGTTAACAGGGCTTTCGCAAAAAATGTGTCCACACGAGTCAACGCGTCTTATTCACCCCTCCCCTCCAGCACGTTCACTTGATGGTTTTTATTAAGGTGATTCGATGGACGCTATATTTTTTGTCAGAACGGCATGCGATATATCGCATCGATTGGTTCCATTTTTTCAGCTACTCGACATTTTTCTCCAATTTTGAGATCGCAATTCTGTTGTCAGGAGACTAAAGCACTCACTTACCAATGTTCACAAAGAAATTCAACGTAATAAAGGCGTGGTTTTTTCAGAGAGAAAATATCGCATTCGAGTGCAGTTTCGATATCAGTGCCGAATTTTGTTTTCTCTCTAAAAAAACCACGCCTTTATTATGTTGAATTTCTTTGTTAAAATTGGTTAGTGAGGGCTTTAGTCTCCTGTCAACAAAATTGCGATCTCAAAATTGGAGAAAATTGACGAGTGGCTGAAAAAATGAAACCAATTGATGCGATATATCGCATGCCGTTCTGACACAAAATATGGCGTCCATCAAATCACCTTAATGTTTCCAAACGAATGAGAAGGGGGTGTCAAAATACAGGCGGCCGATGGGTGGCAAGTACGTAAATCTGGCCCCGAGGACGAATTCCTTGCACCTACCGACGGCGAGTGCTGCTCACTCTCTTAAAAGAACGCACCATATTGAAATGTGTTCCTTCGAGTGGTTTTTGCTTTTTCAGTCCGTTATGCTAATTCCTTCAGACTGAGGTCTCTATGAGCGAAGCGTAAATTTTAAGATTGAAAGTCTAGAATCGTGTTGACTCACGGGTTGTTTTCAATGGAGTGAGGGGTCGATGGCATCAACGGCTTACTGAATCCTAACTAAATTAATCAGTATGCAGGTCTGAAATTGCTGCCACGATCCAATAAAAAAGAAAATAAATCCGGCACTGTAATGACTCCTGTGTTGCCGGACTCTGAATAAAACCTGACCCAATTTTGTCGAAGATTTTAGAAGGACACATGCAGATGTTACCGATAATTATTCATTACATTCATTACATTGCGGTTATTCAGCATTGAAAAAACATGCATGTTTTGAAGACTGTTTCACTGAAACTGCGTTGATGACTTCTATTTTAATTTATAAAATTTATAATGGCAGCCCTTCAAATAACGAGGAGGAATAGAGACGTGCAGAAAAGTTTGGTTGGAGTCTTCTAACATAGTGAAATAAAAAAAACTCCTTTTTCACTGAATTGTTTTGACTGAACACTTTCCAATTGAAGATCCTTTAATCGGAAGAGTGGTGTGTTGTTGTAAAATGTATTTTTCATTGGGAGTTCATTCTATTCAGATGAGATAATTTTTTCAATATACTTTTTTCTTTTTTTTGGTTATTGAGATGACATTTCTTGGGTTAAAATCAAAACTGTTTTGTCATTGATGGCAAAATAATTTTTGTAGTTTCCTTGATAGAAAAAACACTGTAATGCATGATAAAATAATTTTTTTTGCATCAATTTTTTTTTTTTTTTAAATCTTCAAATACACTTTTTTCGGGCAAGACAAAAAACATCTTTGAGTCAAAACTACTAATTTTCCAAATTAAAGAATGCGTTTTTCAACCATCCTATCTGTTTGTGCAAAGCAGCGTGGAGCGAAAATCCTTCAAGGAAATAGGCTCTCTGTGATCTTGAATTCGATTCCTTGCGTTTGGGCTGCGTGAAAATGAGAACGTAAAAATATGGCAACACCAGTGTTACGATTAATCCATCGGGACTTGATTTCCGTTGGCAAAAAGTTTCCGTCGCGTAGCGTCGACTTAATTTTCGCTCGTGAGTGACTCTCAGTCTTAATTGACACCGTTTTCGCAGTCACGCTGGAGTTGAGTGAAAATATCAGTGCTTGTCCCCTTCTCTCCACCCCTCATCCGTCACTGCCCTCATTCCTTCACCCGACCTCTGTTTATGGACAGGTGTGTATTGGCCTCTGGTGAAAACTCCTCAGTACCCTCCCCCCGTCGTTATTTTCTCAAGAAAAAGCTCTATCGACGAAAAATTAACCGGGCCGATTAGAATGCAAAATTCAAATTTTTCAGAGAATTGGTGCATGATGGGGGAAAAACCAATGTCATTTTCGAATTTAACAGCCCAATGCACACAGATGAGTATATTACATGCCTCGAACATTTGCCGCGCTATTTCTGATAACGAGCTTTTTCCAGTCAAATGGCATAATCCGTACGTGAACATGTGAAACTGGTCCGTTTGTTTTGCATCGAAAAGGACGGGAAAATGATTTTATTCTGTTGTCTATTGGGTGCCATCCACCCACCATAGTTTTTCCCATCGCCCACTTTTTTCTTGGAAATTGGTTATTTTTCAAAAACACCCGTCTTTTTCATTCATAAAATGCTAAATTACTCGCTACGGCAGTTACTTTTATATCTTAACATTGCTAAAGTAACGTTGTGGCAGTCAATTCGGCATTATGTAAGTTCTTGCTCACTTTTTTTACATCCTAAATGTTAAATCAACTTCACTTTTTTCCAGTGAACGCCTGATGGTTCATACGGCGTTTTTCCTCTGCACGGTAGTATGTATCTGCGCACGAAAATTCTGAGATGAAAATAAATGACGAGTATTGGGTCTGTTAATACTGTTTCAAGTTGAGAACCTGTTGAGCTCTCTTTGATGATAATATGAGATTCTTTGTGACATTTCAGTGGGACACGCGACCCATGCGATGTAAAACGGAGGGATGAGCGAGCAAGAAAGCGGTGAACGGGGGAATGGGTGCTACGAGCACGATCCGATCCCAGATTGCAGCAACACGAGCAACAGTCAGTACAACTACTCGCAGCTCAACGACTGGGAGACCTCGCCTGGTGAATAGTAAGTACTCTCACCCTCGAATGTAGCCCATAATTTCTCTCTTTCCTTCAGCCGTTGTTACACTTACATTCCCGACTGTACATTTTTACTAAATGAGCATGCACATAGACTGTCTACTTGGCCCCTAGATGTCAATGAATGGACAGTCGGCTAGCCAGTGTGATACACTTAGAAGACCCGCCCCTTTCGGAGCGGGGGAAATCACCCACAACCTTCTTTGGAGCTAGGTTAGTCTCAAGAGTTCCTCTCGATCTATTAGTGCCCCAGAGATCCTCCTTGAAGAGGCCCTTCCTTCCTGCAAGAAGTTCATATTTCCACCCATAATCTTATGGAGGCAGCGGCGATTCTCTTAGGTTGACAAAATTTTTGCGCGAGGAAGGCAACCTCATCTAGAGGATAAGGTTTCAGGACATTCCGTCAACGATTTTTTGTCCACGCACCTGTTTTGTCCAGTGGTTTACATCCATGCCTAAAATAAGCAACAGTGACTTGGTATAAGCATTATATTTAAGTCCGATTTTAAAATTATATCGACAATATCGAAATGAGAAAATTGAAAGGGAAGGAGGTGTTGTCATGGTAACTCATTTTTTAGATGAAATGTTACTTTCTTCTTGTGATTCATCTTAGTAAAACCTAGCAACATTTGTAAGACATTTTCAAGCGATGGCATCGATACTAATCTCAATGAGTCGTGTGTTGAAAGGAACTGTACAAAAATGAATAAAAGGGGGGAAAAACCAAAAACCACGCAGTGTTTGGTTTTAACCCATTTGTGCATCGATCTGTTACAACTAAATAGTCCAATTTTGAGCGTTTGGTTGCGCTGCAGCACAGTGAAAGCACAAAATATGGAAGAACAAATTAGAGGGCTTTGAAAATCATTGAATTTGACACGGAATCACCTTAACATTTACAGCGTACACAATATATTTTCCTTTAATACATATCTTTTTTCATCAGTTTAAATGAAAATAGTCCATGCAGAGTGTGCAAGAAGTTCAAAATCATGAGTTGAAAAACGCCGACTCTGCGAGTTTAAATATTAGAGCCAAACAGAGCGGAGCGGCGTGCAGCCAGCGCGAGAGGCTCACTGGCGCCTACAAACCTAAGGAAATACTTCACGCATTGCGCAATGTTTGAAGTATCTACTTAGGTTTGTAGGCGCCAATGCGCGTTCCGCGCTGGCCGCCCGCTCGCCGTGCCGCGGCATGGCACCTCAAGCAACTATTTCACAACAGAGGTGTTGCATAGTATCATTCGAAATTGAAAGCGTCCCAACATATTAAGAATGACGGGCATCCTTTAAGAATACGCAGCGTTCTCCACAAAATAAATCAAGATGCTACGGCACAAAAAGAGAACGGTAGTCCTAAAACTCATCAAGTCCTAGCATCCGTACTTAATAAAGTTTAGCATAACTTTCAAATTTCATTAGAGAAAAAAGTGACTCAATTTAGGCAGAAAAATTCCTGAGAATGCCGTCAAGAATATTTTATTTTGAGTCTCAATAAAAATTGGTACTTGGACCAAAAATCCCCCGCCGAAAAAATGCGTGGACGTAAACTACTGGAAAAAAAGGTGCGCTGACAAAAAATCCTTGACAAAATGTCCTATAACCGAGGATAATACTGCCATACTAAGGAAGAGCGCCGTATGAACCTCCAGGCGTTGCTAAATTTCCTTTCATAAAACACGAATTTCCTGTTAAACTTATGCATATATTTCTTTCAATTTTTTGGATCTAATTTTGCTCGCAATTTCACCGAAAAGTCCTAAAAATTTCAAGGAATAATATTCATAACATTCCCAATTCCCCCCCCCAAAACAAATTTGGCAACTCTTGAATGTTTATACGGCTTTCTTACGTAGCACGGCCGTGTAGATTTCCATTCAGAAAATACATGTTTGAAATTTTACCCGATGGATGGCGTCATAATTTTAAAGGGGGAAATTAGTAGGACAGATATTCTTACGAGGAAAAATGAATTATTGAAAGTTGAGATTTCTTAACTTCCAGGCGTTTTTTCATTATTTCGACGAGGAGGATCGGTTCAAAGAATGACCTACCTTTTTTCCTTCTTGCTTTCATTTCGGTATTATTTTCCTCTCTCTTTTTATGCCACATAGTGTCCCATCCCAATATATCTCGTAACCCATCGGGCTATTTCTATTCAACTTCCTCCGCGGAGGAACACCGAGAAACTTGCCCCCCTCATCTCAGCTGATTACATAACAGAGCAAAGCACGCCGGGGGTGAAATATTTTAAATTGTCGGGGGATGCGAAAGCGCACTTTAGGCGGACGACTTTACCGCTCCCGTTTTGGAATTTTGCCACTTTCCGCGATCGGCGAAATCGTCACGACGCTCTAGTGACAAATCCGAGTCAGAGCCAGCGATCTGAAAACAACGGAGGCTATCTTGCCGGAGGCAACGCGGGGATATTAAATTTCATCGCAAGCGCCGCACAGTCGACCAAGTCGATGGGAAAAGTCGAACAAGACGTGGAATCTTTAAAAGCCTACGTCCTCATCCATACCAGACGTATATATTTGAAAGTTGTTTCATAGGTTATCTTTTAAAATCCATTTGAAAAAATCACCCGTTGAGCTCTATAATGGGACTATATAAATATCAAAATTTGCAATTTTAGTCTAAAATTGTATGTCCGACCTATCGCACTGGCCCTGTGTACTGTGCGCCGTTGGTCGGGCGGAGAATACAAAACCGGGTAAACCTTGAGCGGTCTTTTGCTCTTCCTACTCTGAAACTTTAGCACCCGGGCCCGCGGACAATGAAAAGAGTAACATTTAGCATCCGCCAGACTTCTGAGTCTCGGCTTCCCTGGCCTGTCAGCTGTCATGTTTTGTTCGCTCTGACATTTTGAACAGGAGCCTGCAACGAGCTTTACAATGTTCGCTGTCATAAGCGCTTTATGGGTTACCGAGGAGGTGTCGGCCACAGTGCCTTAGCAGAGAGGATATTCGGCCGTGTAACCGAAGAGAATCGAATAAATATGAACCTATTAGCCTCCGAGCGGAAAATTGAAAACTGGACAATTCCTCCGTTCTTCGTAAAGCCGATAAGTCCTCCAAAAGACTCTTAAAAATTGTTCGGATTATGAAAAATCGACAAGTCTAAATTTTTACAGAGGAAATGTTCCTTTTTAATTTCATGTAAAATATANTGAAAATCTTCCACTTTGTAGTCCTAATTGAGATGCGTCCGTAGACACCAAGATCGTAGGAATCCGAGCCGTCGTTTGGGCTGCAGTCGAGTTCCAACCGAATCAATTTTCAGATTAAGGGAGTTGCCTGTGACTAAGAGTGTCGGCCACCCGTTTGTTATCGGGACTTTAGTAGGACGTCATTTTCCTCGACCGGGGGTGGCTACCGCCACTCTTGATGAAAAAGAACAACGAGTCACGTTCTGCATTATTAAGTGGTTACGTTTTGCACATGGAAACAGTTCCAGTGTAATTTAAAACCGGTAAACTTTTTCAATATGAACAAAGGTGGGACAAAAAAACAAAAACTAATTAATTTTTTCGATCATTTAATGCTACAGTTCCGCGGGTTTTATTGTGAAAAATCAAAGAAAGATTTGAAATAAACTCCTTAATTAAAAAAAAAAAAAAACGAAGTTGAGCATTTGACAAAACAAATTACTATAAAAATGAGCAGAAGTGAATGCAAATTTGAAGTTTCCACAACACAGGAAGAGCAAAATGTGTTGTGTCAAAATGCGCTCTCGTGGGGAGGGAAATACGCTGAGTACGGTGAAGTTACCCCGGAAGGAAGTGAAAGTTCGACACGGCCAAGCTATCTCACTGCGGCGCCTACATTTTCTGTTTATTCCGCATTCTCTTCGCACCGAGACAGTGACAGAATGGCACAACGGCTGAATTCAACGCGGTGAAGACCAGCATGATCTGGATGATATTCCCAGATTTGACTTTAGTTATTTTGAGTATTTGAACTTTAATTAAACTATTCATTATTAATAGCTCACCGGCTCGCGATATTTTTTGCCACTACGCGTTTCGGCCGTCCGAGGAATATTCCCAGATTCCTGTTTGTGTATCATGTCGATGATTAGGTGACAATACTTCATTATTTTTTTGAGTTCCACAAAGTTTTTTCCTCTTTTTTAATTGCTTTAATATCAATTCACTTTTAAGATAATCACCGTGAGATTTGCACTTGAGAGCTTATTAAGCTGAAGGCTATTAGTTCAAGTGCCACGCTCTTTCAATTAAAGGATCGGATTACATTTGGCGATTACGGACTTTTTGCCCTGGCTGAGCTTTTATGGATGAGCCGCTAATGCTCCTTCCTCGGGGCAAACTATTTAATTTAGTCTAACTGCAACTCCAGTCCAATTTTGCTTAAAGTGTCTAGACTTTGAGATTCTTCACCGTTTCAGTCGTTTTGTGAACAGTGTTTTACTGTTAAAAAGTTGCATTTGCCCCAAGATGCGACTCTTGATATCCACTTACTTAATCTTGAATCATGATGTACCTCGCCAACTTTTTATAGTAGACTTCCTAAGGTGAATAATATTATTTCAGAAAACGCAAACCACCTACTACATGGGATATTAGAAAGAGACACGATTGTGATAGCACTTATTAGGACGATAAAAGCGATGACAGTAATGTTGTTTCTTTTGAACGGCAAAAAAGTGGGCTCCTTTCTGTTGAACACAATCCGAGTGTATTTGAGAGGGACACGGCGCCTTCAATTTTTTGCGTATGCAACGCGGACATCCGTAAAGCTCGAATAGTTGCATGCAAGGGTTGACCGCATCACCAACTAATTTTTGCGCGCGTTGAAACTGATGAAACCATGCTTTCGTAATTTTGTCTATTAAAAATCAATGACACGTTGGTTTTTCTCTCTTTGATTTGATTATTTGAAACTGGTCATTCGAAACTGGTGCAGGTGATCACAAAAGAATGAAATTGAATTATCTCTCTCTCTCTCTCTCCCTCTCTCCC